GGTTTGAGGGCGCGATTTTGGGTCCATAAAATGCTCATACTTCCGGCTTCAACATAGTGTGTCTCCATAGTAATCTGAGCAGTGCTCCGCCACCTGGGGCCAAAGTGACTCCGAAACTTCTACTTATTACGTAGGCTTAACTTCATTTCGCTTTGGCAAGACGTGTCTTTCTTTGCAAAGCAAAGTCGACCGCCTAGTTCATGAAAAAAACCTGTCGTCTGTAGAACAATCGCCATTCTGCCAGTGCAAGTGAATGAGCTCTTGAGCAGACACTGGCTGGGTGTTGTTGGCGCCGTTCTTCTTGATGTGGTCTCCGACTGGGTGAACCGCGGAGCCTCCTCAGAGCGCCTGTTTGAGGACTTGAAAAAGGCCCCTTTCGGGGTCTAGGTTTGGCGCGCTTGGGTTGTTGGCTTGAGGCACGGATGTGTGCACACCGAGCGTCGTGTTGGTGAGCATGATTTCCTTGACTCAACAAGCAAGCTGGCTGTTTGGACCAAGGAAAGGAGAATGCTGGAAGTGAGGACCCACTTCCGTGAAGAGGCCGCAGTAGAAGGAAAGAGAAGACCAAAGCTATCAAGGGTAAAGGAAAAGCAAGAAGAAAAGCGGTGAGACTTTTTGTGGTCAAAAGAAAGGAAATGAGTCGGCAGCCGGCAGCCGTTTTCAATTGCAGGACACCGGGCAAGGATGGTGTAGCCGTCCGCACGCGTAGATCCGTTTTTCCGTGGCCAAAGGATGATGATCCAAGTAACTCGCTAGTCAAAGAACACAGTTTTTTCAGAGGAGCGAACTTGGACAGTTTGCTGGTGGATTGTCGAGTCTGAGCCAGAGGAAAAGTTTTCGCAACAGTGTGTTTTCAAGGAAAGAGCGAGTCGAAGCCAGTTTATTCTATATAGGAACGACTTGCGCTCAATTCTTAAGGGAGGGTGTTAAACAGTCTGCCTGCATAGGAACACACAGCTTGACATGTATAGGAATGTTGAAAAGTGAGCCAGGAACGTCTTCGACGCCAAGGCTGAAAGACACCGACCACCCGTGCAGCTACAAGGAAAAGACTTGTGCGGTGCTGTGAAGTAGGAACCCTTAGTGAAGCTTGTTCTTTAACATAAACACAAAAGCATAGCTGGAGCGGAATTACAAGCAGTGCAGGCAGAGCATCAGCTATTGTCATTCCCATTTTATTAAATGAACCACCAGTTGCAGTTCAGTTTTTGAATGCAGAAGGATACGCAGCTGGCCGTGTGGGTGTGTTGGTCAGGCGTGTTTTCTCCAGTCCATGTGGAAGTGATGAAAATCTTACAGGTCGTCCGCCCGTGCCCCAGGCGGGCTTCCATGGTGATGAAATATCTTACAAGTCGCCCTTTTGGCGTTCTCAGTGCTTTAGAGGTGCATGTTGTATCCGTCGAGCAGTGTCTCGCTCATGCAAAAATGTTACAATCCACAAAATCTGCTCCTAAAAGATATAAGCCCCTGTAGGAAACAATGGTCGCTGGAAATGAGCTACTTTCCAGAAGTTGGCCGGTGAGATTTGGGGTGTTTATTTGTCAGATTTGAAGGTCGTCTCTTTGTTTCCGACTATGTGCATCTTGTGTCCGCTTTTCGGTTTTTAGCATGTGTGAAGCATGGGATTTGCACGGAACCTCAAGCTTGGTGCAAAATTTGCAAGTCCGAGCCCAAGCTTTCGGAGCCCGGGCTTTTTCGATGTCCTTGGGGCTTCTCCAGGCCTTCTGGCACCGAAATCAGACAACAATGATGATGATGATCTATGTGATTAGTCAGACAAGCAGCCAGGATCAACAGCATGGTGCTAGATTTCCAGTTACGCTTGAAAACCCACAGGTTTGAACCTCCCCACAACCATGCGCGCTTGTGATTGTGGTGCATCGATTTTAATTTGCAATTTCGGCTCTGAGAAACTTCAACATGTTTGCTGTTAACCTTTGGGACTGGCCTCTCGCCATTCCCTGTCGGGCAGCTCAGCGGTTGTGGCGCGGGTGTCGTTGCGTGAAACCGTGTTCAACACCACCCGCGGTGCAGGTACCGAGCCTGATGAGTGCCTTTGAAGAGTTGGGAATTTGCCCCGAAATTATCCAAGCAGTCGAGGAGGTGCAGCAGATTGCGACACCAGACCTAAAACTGCAAGCTGCAATCGTCGTGGCGAGATGACGTTCAGGACGATTGGTTGCTTCCCACTCCTGTGCAGCAGGAGGTGGGCGTTGAGTTGCAAAGCAAGCTCACGCACATGTGTTGCAAGTCTGACATTCGGCACGCCCCGATGGATCTTTCAGGCCATTCCTCTTATTCTTGGTGGAGGCCGCTGCTGTGAGTTTGGTTGGGGCTGGGTAAAGACTTTGCTTGTCGTGTTTAATTCGGGTTTAGGGTTTGGGGTCCAGAAGCACAGTGGCATGTCTCTGCATGAGAAGGTGATGTATTGGTTGCGGCTGAAACTGGAAGCGGAAAGACCGGTGCTTTCGGTCTTGACCCGAGAAGTGCGTTTGATATTGGATCAGCATATTGAGTTGTTGGCAAGCTTGAAACGCCGCAAAGTGTCAGTACTGATGAAAGCGGGCAAACAAGCTCTTTCAGGAAGGTCGTAGCTATTCGTTACCAGACGGGGGCTGAGGTTTGCCTTGCCTCCAGATCGTCCACGAGACGCTGCGCGGGAAATGCAGCACCAGGTGCGATTTTGGGCATGTCATGTTTGCGGACGTCCTCGAAGCGCTTGGTTTTGGGCAGGAAGGCGGCGGCATCGAATCTGAAGTGCGAGCTGAACTTGAACGACAAGGCAGCCTGGGTTGTCAGAGCTAGCGCCAACGTTCTTACAGACCGGGGCCTGGTGGCCGGCGTCTGGCTACAAGCCTTGTACAAGCCTTTGTTTCTGATTCCGGGAGGACATGTTCGTGCTCGTGACAGAAGATGGACTAGAGTGTAAAAGCGAAGATGACAAGCGATGGAACGGGACGCTTCCTCAGCTTTCCTTCTTCCCAGCTACAGGGCTTTCGAAATCGTCAGAGCTCCAGAGAGCCCTGCCCGAGGATTCGTGCGACCATCGAGGTGATGCAGGGCTGCTACATGTTCGAGGTGGAGGCCTGCTCTTCGTCTTCTCTGCCTCTTTTGAAGCACCTCATCTTCCGCCTTTTTTGTGCCGCGTAAGGTCGTGGAAGGCTTGGTGAGAATAGGCGGGCGAACTGCCGCCAGTGGTCCCGAATAGGGGGAGAGGATTGCCCTCCAATATGCAGGATGAGGCCACAGAACCTCTATGAAGTACTTGACGTTGTGGCCCAACTCTTGAACTATACACAAGTATATAGATATAGATATAGATATAGATATAGATATGGATATAGATAGGCCAGGTTCTCGAAGCAGAACTTCGCTGTCGTGGCTTTGCCAGGTTGGAGTGCCGGATTTGCCAAGTTGGAAATTGGAATCGATGACAAAAGCCCTGGGCCAAGACTTGGCTTTGAGAGCAAGTCCGATCTACACTGTTCTCGGCGTCCTACCCCAACCCCAAATCCTAAAGCCTAAACCGTTAAAGATCCCTGGTAGTAACCTTCTAGACCCCTTTAAAACCGCCCTAGAACCCTAAACCCTAAACCCTAAACCCTAAACCCTAAACCCTAAACCATAAACCCCAAAACCCCTATGCATGCTGGGATGAGGTTTCGGCTTCGGCTCCACCGGCAAGAAGAGCTGGAATCGCAAGTTTGAGGACTCAATTGTAGTAGTAGTAGTAGTAGTAGTAGTAGTCATCATGATCTTAATGAATCATGACAACACTGATAAATAATGGTTATAGCAGTACTACTAACCATAGCAATACTATCCTAAAAATTTTTATCAACAATACCTAGTAATAACCGCAATGAGAGGAAGAGTAGTAGTAATGAGAATCCTAGTCCTTCGCAAGACCCCCTAAACCCTAAACCCTAAACCCTAAACCAGATCTCTACGACCCGCGCCAGGACTATGGCGAAGCGTTCGAGGAAGGCGACATCATCGGCCTGCTGCCCGCGAAACCGGTTGGGGGGGGGGGACGTTTAGGGTTTAGGGTTTAGGGTTTAGGGACTGCAAACTCGCAAGCAGTGCACGCAGACTTTTGGGCACTGTGAGGTGTATCATGGCAATGACAGGAACATCTGCCCCAACGATTCCCGACCCTTTTCAGCCCCTGGACGCTGTTTTTTCCCACGTTGGAAACACCTGAGGCTGCTTGCTTGATCGCGAGAAGCAGACGATCTCCTTCTGCAAGAACGGGAGAGACCTCGGAGTGGCGTACAAGTGCGCCAGAGCTCCCCGAATCCGACGCTTTAGGTTTGTCTTTTTAGACTCTGCTGCCATCTTGCCGGCAGGCTACCCCCTGACATGCAGCGGATAGGCCTCAAGCCCCACATCTGTGGAAAGGCAGCCTAAAGTGCTCAGTCAGTTTTCATTCCTTGCTGACTATAAACCCTGTCCCAAACTGAACGCTGCCAGGGCTTCATGGCTGCAGCGAGATTTGATGGCCCGATGGAGTACCCAGTCGAGGGCTACACTCCTGTAGGCAGGTGGGGTTGAATGGGGCCGTGGGCGGCGGCGCTGTTTAGGCCAACGTTGCCAGCAACAACGTAGCTACAGTGTTACAGACACGGTTCACCCCGTGACAGCAACATCCTAAACCCCTAAACCATAAACACTAAACCTTACAAAAACCCTAAACCAAAACATCGGTTTGCACTACTGTGAGGTGAAATCGATCCCACACATACTCCACAGGGAACGTCGCAGGCCAAAGGCCAGATCCTTGGATTTTTCCGTTCTCGCGCGTTAGAGTATTTGACGTACGATTATGCAACAGCACATAATTTGTTATAATGTTACATAATATGCTTTTATATTATATGACAACAATACATACATATATATATATATACACATACACATACAACAATGTACATAGGTGTGTATACATATATATATATAGTATATATATATATATACACATTTATATACCTTGGCATCAGGACTGCAGGGTTATTTTGCCAAGCAGCCACTAGCATTTCAGCAAAGGCAAGCGACCGCCCCTCTGTATGATCCTGGAGCCCACAAGGCCAGTGAACCAGCGATGGCTGTGCGTGTGTTACGTCAGGATTTTCAGCACATGCGAGTTGTGGCTCCTGCAATTTCTTATGACGGCATGGGCTTTGGAGATGGGATGAGGGTGCATTCAGCTGTCGACCCTGTCTTTGCAAGGGACCTGGCTGAGCAGACTTACAAATGCCAGTCGGCTGCAATGAGAGGGACAGCAGGTAGGGTAGCGAGGATGATGTGCAAAGGCCCAACGTGTCCCAACAGATCCCCAGAGCTTGGTAAACCCATGGTATCGGAAATGGCGTCGCGGGTTTAGCAGAGTGGCTCTCACGTCGATTTTATATTTTTTTGGTGGTGGGCTGCAGAATGCATTTTTTCGCACAGGGAAGAACACATTCCAACCTTCCCGGAATAGCCGTCTTCTCACTCCCGCCCCTCAACAAACTCAAACAGTTTTATATGTGGGAGCAAAGCATGAGCTCGGCACCTTGCGCATCATGGAGGTGTTTTTGCGATAATCGCAGCATCGGAACTTCCCTGGGGAAGCGGGGGCGTGAGGCATGACCACATTCAACAAATATCTGGACAACCCTACGGTCCGAATCACGCTGTTTGTCGGCGGCATCGACGAGAAGGCCAGGCGGCTGATGCTCCTTCCAACACGGGCAGTTGTGGTTGTGGCTGTTGTTGTAGTTCTTTTTCCATGCGGCCCCTATGAACCGTGGCAAGGAGCAGTTTCGAGCATTGGAAGAAGGCGTAGACATCGTCGTAAGAGCCTCAGGTCTCGACAAGCGGGACTGTCTTTGTCGCAGGCAGTGCCCATTGGCACCTTGACCGTCTGACTCTTTTTAAACCCCGGACCCCAAACCCTGAACCCTTATACCCTAACCCCAAACCCGAAACCCTGAGCCCCAAACCCCAAACCCCTAAACTATGGGAATTATGGGTACAAATTCCTTATATTAAAATGGGTAAGCCCTAAACCCCAACCCCCCTAAACCCACGCTTTTTAGGTTGGAACCTTACAGAAGCTGATGGACTACGTCCGCCGGGGCAAGCTGGCCTGCCGCCTCAGCTTTTGCCAAGTGCCGGGAATGGCGTTTAGAGCCCCTAAAAATCCCTAAACCCTAGGGTTTAGGGTTTAGGGGTTTAGAGTTTATAAGGGTTTAGNNTAGGGTGCAAGGGTTTTGGGTTTAGGATGTAGGCCTAAACCCTCTAAACCTTGGGCAGTGCAAGTACTAAGCAAACCCCCTCAGCATCAACATCGGATTCTTCCCTTCAAAATCCTCAGACTAAGGATGTCCTCTTCCCTTGGGATCCTCAAATTAAGGATGTATTCTTCCCTTAAAAATCCTCAGTTTCAGGATGTCACCCATCTGAAGTTCCT